AGAGAACTTTGATGGGGGAGGGAAGCTAATCGTTGCGATATAGTGTTGAGGACTGAACAGTTGTTGAAATCCCTGTGGATTTCAGGGAAGAAAATAATTACTGCTTCACATACCATTTTTAAGTGTTAAAATTTTGTTTGGCTTTTAATCTTAGCTCTCCAGGTAAATTGTGTTTGGAAGTTTCTTTTGTGTCAGTGTTAGATGCTAAATGTCACTATTACTTGTCTGTAAATGAGATTTAAAAATGCCTTGCAACTCAAACTTTTTTTTGTCTGAGTATTGTTGGGACCAGTGGAAGCAGTATGCTGTAATCCCCACACGGGGAGTGGAGTGTACTGCTTTCACCAGTGTGACGTAATAGTGATTAGCTCCATAGAGACTGAAATCCAGGACTCCTTAGGTAAAAGAACTGGATATTCCTTAAGACAGCTATCACAGTGATAAGGCAAACTTCACCTCTGACTCTCTGGTCTCTTCTAGAGCTGGGTGGGATATGGTTTTCCTTTCCTGTAAAACCTTTGAGATTTCAAAAATTTTCCTGTTACATATTGGGATGAGCCTGAGACCTTTTGAAGTTTTGAGGTGAAGGAGAATAGGACAATGGGCAGACTATTCAGGGATCGATATCTCTGAATATCTCCTGTTGGAGCTGTTCCACTGTGTATAAAAAGTATTCACTGGGCCAGAGAGACACTAACTTTATAGTCCAGCGAATAGGGCAGCCGCTTGGGATGTGGGAGACCCAGATTAAAATCTGCACTCTGAGTCAGACAGAATGCCCTAACCATCATGCTGTTAGCTATTCTGAGGTGATCGGGTTCTCTCATTTTGATCAGAAATTCCATCATTTAAACAGATATGGTTCTACAAAATTTTGGTTTTGATGAATTGGCATTTTCTGATGAGAAAACATTTTTAGTAGGGCTGTCAATTAATTGCAGTTAATTTGTTTTGAGTTAATCTCTTGAGTTAACTCAATTCAAAAAAATTAATTATGATCACAGTTTTAATCACACCGTTAAACAATAGAATACCAATTTAAACTTATTTTAAATATTTTTGGATTTTTTTTATATTTTCAAATATTGATTTCAATTACAACACAATACAAAGTGTACAGTGGTCACTTTATATTATATTTATTTGCACTGTAAAAGAAGATAAAAGAAATAGCATTTTCCAATTCACTTTATACAAGTACTATATTGCAATCTCTTTATCGTGAAAGTGCAACTTACAAATGTAGATTTGTTTGTTTGTTACATAATTGCACTCAAAAACAAAATGTAAAACTTTAGCACCTACAAGTCCACACGGCTGATGACTGGTTCTGCTAGATAACTATTCAAAGCAGTGCGGACTGATGCACGTTCATTTTTCATCATCTAAGTCAGATGCCACCAGGTTGACTTTCTTTTTTGATGGTTCAGGTTCTGTAGTTTTCCAAATCAGAGTGTTGCTCTTCTAAGACTTCTGACATCAGATTCCACACCTCATCCCTCTCAGATTTTAGAAGGCACACCAGATTCTTAAACTTTGGGTAGAGTGCTGTAGCTCTCTTTAGAAATTTCATATTGGTACCATCTTTGTGTTTTTGTCAAGTCTGCAATGAAAGTGTTCGTAAAATGAACATCTGCTGGGTCGTCATCCAGGACTGCCATAACATGAAATATATGGCAGAATGCAGATAAAACCACGGAGCAGGAGACATACAATTCTCCCCCAAGGAGTTCAGTTACAAATTTAATTAACGGATTTTTTTTTAAATGATAGTCATAATCATGGAAGCATGTCCTCCGGAATGGTGACCGAAGCATGAAGGGGCATACCAGTGTTTAGCATGTAAACGGGGCATGTAAATACCTTGCAATGCCTGCTACAAAAGTGCCATGTGAATGCCTCTTCTCACTTTCAGGTGACATTGTAAATAAGAAACGGGCAGCATTATTTCCCATAAATATGAACAAACTTGTTTGTCTGAGCAATTGGCTGAACAAGAAGTAGGACCGAGTGGACTTGTAGGCTCCAAAGTTTTACATAGATTTTTTTTAAAAAACTGAAATAAAAAATAAAACATTTGTAAGGTGCAAATATTTGTAAACAAAAATATAGTGACTACTGTATACTTTGTATTCCGTGTTGTTGTTGAAATCAATATATTTGAAAATGTAGAAAACATCCAAAAACATTTAAATAAAATGGTATTCTATTGTTTAACAGTGCGATTAAAGCTACGATTAATCATGATTCATTTTTTTAATCATTTGACAGCCCTAATTTTTAGAGTTCTAGCCTGAATCTGTTGACCTGTGCTGTAGTGCTTTTTCCCACCATGGGCTCCAAAATGCAGCGTAGACATACCTTCTCAGACTTGAGCCCTGGGCTGCCGTTCTTTGTGATCAGTCATAATTATCTCAGCAGGCCTGACTTATCTTCAGTGCCTGCAGTACCGTTCCCTCTGGGAACAGTGACAGTGCTTTAAGAAGGCTATCTACCCACTGGTTACCAAAATATTACTTACTTAGAACCAAAATGTTTTAGAGAACAGATCTTAAAACAATAAACTATTCGCTACGTGTTGCTGCCTCTCTAAAGCTTAACATTGCAGGGAGCAGGAAAAGGTCCATTTTTCTTCAGACTTCCTCCATAGATCTGCTCTCTGCGTTAGCCTGTCCCCTTTGACACCCTCTCACAGCTGATACCTCCTCCAGTCTTCCCTTTTTGACTGTTCAGTGTTTGTTTGGAGGATACTTGTCTAGATCCATTGTGTTGCTTTCCGGCTTGTTTTTCCCACAATCCCTTATTAAGCTGCATTAGTACAGGAAAATCTTATAACTTGTTATACAATAACTTCACTGATCAGTTCACATACAGTGTTCATAAAATTATTATCTCTTAGTATTCTTAGATTATTACATAGCAGCTCCATATCAGTCACCACAGCCATCCAATACTGGGAATAAACAGGAATAGATTGTGGGGGGAGGACAAATGCATACAAATATGGTGGCTTTTCAGTGATCGATATTTTAAAAATCTTTTAATTCACCTGTCATCACTTAAATTAAGACATTAATATTTTGTATTCCAGTGCAAAATGTAGAAGATGTACTTTAAGATTAAAAGGATCTCACTAGTTTAACAACTTCAATTTAAAATAAATATATAGTGTGAGGAAAGGGGGAGGGGGGAGATAAGGGATGCAGACTGGCTCAGGCAATGTTAGAATGGAATATAAGAGTCACTACCAGTTTAGTGGTTTCAGCCCTTCTCAGCTCAGTAGGGAAAGTAGTTGCTATGCAATCTGTTCAGTGGCCTATGTGAAAGAAATTGGATTGTCTCAGTCCAATTCTTACTGTGTCCTAGCGTCCTGGCATGTTTTGGCAGACTTAATAGAGGACCATGGGTTAAATGGAGCTGAAGACTGAACTAACATTTCATTCCTATACCTGCTCTCTCCAGTTCTTAGTACTGAGACACATTGGCAGCTAGCATGGGGAAACTGTCTCTGCAAATAGCTGACCTATTTAAAAATACTTGTATTTTCCGTTAGCTCTGTTTGTTTCTTTTCAGCTCTGTTATCAGCCTCCGGTTGGTTGGTTGCTAGGCTGGAAAGACACCTGGTTAAGGTTAGCATAAGATGAGATGCTGTTTCTACCAACTACGTGGAGAGTTTCCCACCATACAGTTGAACAAAGATTTTTGCATATTTTGGATCTTCCAAAGCACTGAGACTATTTACTTTTCTACCTTTCTGAAAAAGCAAAGCTATCTATGACAAGGATGAATATTTGGCCTAATTTGGGATAAGAAACATGCTTTTAAAATGCTGAACTGGGTAACTGTTCTCAACCACCACTTCAATAGTATGTAATCTTTTTGAAGTAAGAGCTGGGAAAAATTGTTGAAAGAACAAATTCAGATGTAAACCTTGAACTTCAATCTGTCCTCCTGTAGCTTGAAATATGAGTATTTTTTTCTCTCTCCTAATTCCAGTGTGCCTCCTGTAGCAGAATGGGCTGTTCCTCAGTCATCAAGACTGAAATATAGGCAGCTGTTCAATAGCCATGACAAAACTATGAGTGGACACTTAACAGGTATTAGAACAATTTTTATATTCTTTATTTTTTTGCTTCCATTTGATTGATCTTTGACAACTATGTGTCTGTTAATGTGGTGCTTGAATTATGGAAGGCGAGTGAAAGCAGAGTTCGCATCCTGAAATGAGTAACTTTCCAAATGGGGGGAAAAAGCTTATTTTCTATATTACTGTTTTCCATCCGCCCTTTGATTACAACTGAGAGCAAACATATGATCATTTGTGAGTGGTTGCTACTTAGGGCTTGTCTACACAGGGAAGTTAGAATGCAGCAAACTAGGGTGTGAATTTATGGCACACTAGCTACTCTGCCCTGTCTCCCCAAGTGGACATTCTGACTGCACTAAAAGAGCCTGCACGAGAACGCATTTAGTGCGCAGAATGTTGACTTGGAGAAGATAGTGCAGAGTAGCTAGTGTACCGTAAATTCACATGCTAGTTTGCTGCATGTTAACTTCTCTGTGTAGACAGGCTCTTAGTAAAATGGGCGAGGGTTGGGGAAGGGAGTTCAAAAGCCATCTAATGCCCCTGTGTGACAGGCTTCAGTTGGTCCACTGAGCCACTGTGGGGGGGTGGAGAGTTACTGCCTCACCAGCAGGCCTTGATCACACCTTTCTGTCACTAGGGAATTAGCGGAGGGAGGTGTGCCGGCAAGAATCTGTGGCGCACCCCTCAGGCAGGGGAAGTGCCGGCAAGAGTCTGTGGCGTTGTCGGGATTCTGCTACCCTAGGCGGGTTGGTTGGGGTAAGGGAACGCAGGCCCACCCAACTCCACTGCATTCCAGCTCAGGGCCCTGACAATGGCGGGACCCTCTCCTCCCGCCACTGGGTGAGCGGGGAGCCATCCGCTGACCAAATAGACCCACCGCACTGTGCAGTTCTGCCCCTGGGCTACTTCCTACCCGGTCTCTTGAGCGGGTCCCTCTGGTCCCTCCAGCTCGTCAGGGTATTCAGCTGCTGGCAGCTCCAGCTCCCCCTCCGTGTCAGGCTCACACTGGCCTGGGTTACTGCCTGGCTCCTCCAGGTACTCGGCAGCTGGCAGTCCTGGTAGCCCCAGTCCTTCCTCCAGGTCAGGTTTCTCCTGGCCCAGGGTCTTCCCTAGCTCAGCAGCAGGGTCTGAAGGGAACAGCCTGTGTCTGTCTCCCTCCCTGGTGCTGCCCTGACTGGGCTAAGGGCCCCGCCCTTTGTACTTCCTGTTCCATCCCTCCCCTTCCAGGGATTGGAGTAAGCTTGGTCTGGCCCCACCCACTCAGGTTGGGAGAGTGGCTCTTTACCCTCTGGTTCGGAGGGAAACCACCCTGGCTCCCTACACCCTGGTACAGGATTATGAGAGGTACTGGGCACCTGCAACTTCCATCAGCTTCTTGCTAATTTTTTTCCTCTCCTCACTCCTGCTTTCACACTGATTGATTTATTGTCAGGGTGATCCCTTCTGGCCTTAAACTCTAACTATGACTCTGAGATCCATGCCCCAGAACTTACTTAATTTTCTTTTTGAAACTTATCCTGCCGGTGTAGTTGGACAGGGCTCCTGATCTCCACTGACCACCCAAAAAGGAAAAGCCTTTGACAATTGTGGAATTCTTCTTGTCCCCATTACTCCTTGTTGACAACCTACCAAGCGGGTGAAAGTGTTGAGTAGTGATTAACACTATCAGCTGGCTGGTAGGCTGTCATGGCTTGTAGGCTGTCAAAGAGGAGCTTTTCTCTTCAGACCACACACACAGTTGCCTCTGCCCAAGAGAGAACCCACCCCAAATGGGGGGAGGCACTGAGCATGTACAGGAGTCCTCCCTCACCCTTATGTCATCCCAAGAGTTTATTGCGAGGTATGAAATTGGTTGTGGCAAACTGTGACTCCTGCAAAGGGCATGGGTGGCTGGGTCAAGCTTTGTGTGCCCCTTTCATGAGAGACAGTTTCCTCATCATGATAGCAAACTGCCTGTGCAGTGGGAAAGGGTACATCAACTGTGGGATTATTAATCCTAGCAGCATTCCTTAATCTTAGATATTCTTTTAAAATAACTTCCCTCTTGTGCACCGTGACAGTTTGTTCTGAGCAGTAGTATGTTCAGCTCTAACACATAGGGAACTGACATTTTTCAGGTTAGCCCATCAAAACTGAGTTCTGCTCCAGAATAATGTTCTCTGATTTTTTGTTTGTTTGTTTCTTAACCCTTGTTCTAATTTGTTAGGTCCACAAGCAAGAACTATCCTTATGCAATCAAGTTTACCACAGGCTCAGTTGGCTACAATATGGTAAAGAGAGTTCCTTTAATTTTTCTCAAATCAGAAACTGTACTTATCACTCTGGATTATACCCTTTCCCCCCATCCCCCCACTAACTTGTTAAATTTTGCAGTCTTTTTCTTTACACAAGATATACATTAAAAACTGCATACTTGTACACATTAACATTACTATTTAATAAAGGGCATTGTCAGAGGAATTAGATGAGTTGCCACTGAATTTTTCTAATATCAGCTAATTCTTACAAAATATAAAAAATGGTTCATAAAAAGAACTCTTCAAGTTTATTTTACATTAGATACCTATGGTAATCCTCCCCTTCTGTGTGGGTTGAAAACATAGCTGACATTTTTACTTGGTTTTGTCTTTAATTGTTTGTAAAAAAACCACTTTGTTTCTCTTACCTGTAGTGAAATTATACCCCGGAACTTAATACAAAAAAGTATTTTTTTAAAATGTGTAGTAAAGAAAACTGTAGCCTCCTAAAATTGTCCTTTATCCCTAGTTGTGTCCTGGCAGAAGTATTAACTCTTTGAAAAAAGAAAAGGAGTACTTGTGGCACCTTAGAGACTAACCAATTTATTTGAGCATAAGCTTTCGTGAGCTACAGCTCACTTCATCAGATGCATACTTTGGAAAGTACAGAGATGGCATATATCACATCCACCAATATGATATATGCCATCATATGCGAGCAATGCCCCTCTGCCATGTACATTGGTCAAACTGGACAGTCTCTACGTAAAAGAATAAATGGACACAAATCAGATGTCAAGAATTATAACATTCATAAACCAGGTTTCAGAGTAACAGCCGTGTTAGTCTGTCTTTGCAAAAAGAAAGAGTACTTGTGGCACCTTAGAGACTAACCAATTTATTTGAGCATGAGCTTTCGTGAGCCAGTCGGAGAACACTTCAATCTCTCTGGTCACGCAATTACAGACATGAAAGTTGCGATATTACAACAGAAAAACCTCAAAACTAGACTCCAGCGAGAAACTGTTGAATTGGATTTCATTTGCAAATTGGATACTATTAACTTAGGCTTGAATAGAGACTGGGAGTGGCTAAGTCATTATGCAGGGTAACCTATTTCCCCTTGTTTTTTCCTACCCCCCCCACGTTCTTGTTAAACCCTGGATTTGTGCTGGAGATGGCCCAACTTGATTATCATACACATTGTAAGGAGAGTGATCACTTTAGATAAGCTATTACCAGCAGGAGAGTGGGGTGGGGGGAGAGAAAACCTTTTGTAGTGGTAAACACCCATTTTTTCATGGTTTGTGTGTATAAAAAGATCTTCTGTACTTTCCACAGTATGCGTCCGATGAAGTGAGCTGTAGCTCACGAACGCTTATGCTCAAATAAATTGGTTAGTCTCTAAGGTGCCACAAGTACTCCTTTTCTTTTTGCAAATACAGACTAACACGGCTGTTACTCTGAAACCTGTCATTAACTCTGAGTTTCTTCTCTTTGATGTGCTTTAAAGGAGTGTCCTTTGTTTTTTATCTCCGCATTCTTATCTGCCAAAGTAGATTGCCTTCTATTAACATAACCAACTAGGTCTCTCATTTCTCCTTCAGCCTGAGTAATCTCTTGTACCTTGCTGTGTAACTGCATAGTGGCTTTAGTATTTATTTATTTGCCTTTTTACTACTCTCCTAGTATTTTTGTTCCTGATTGTTCAGGGTCACCTTCTGTGATTTTTGAAATGGCCTTCATGCCACTTTTGTGTATTTTAATGGATTAATTGCTCTCTGCTGCCTATTTCTAATTAACTTCCTCTCTTGAAATTCAGTGTCTTAAATCTCTGCTTGAAATTCAGTGTCTCACTACAGTGCTACCACATGATTTTCCCTGTGCTAGGATGTCAACTATATTTATTGTCATTGTTGCATAGTGGCTGTGCCATACTTGCTTTATAGGGTTTGGCTTAGATATTATTCAGGACTTACAGTAGCCTCTTCTCTTTTGTTTCCTAACAAAGTTGCTATAAGAAGCAATGGCAACCCAATAATCCAGAACATCACTAGCTGTGACTGGGGTCCCAATGGGGGCCAGCAGAGGTCACTTAGTTAGGGTGAACCCCAAAGAATGGGGTAGATAATCCCCAAAGCTGGTGGATGTTTTCAATACTTAAATTTACCAAGGCAGCATAAAATCACTTCTTTATTACTTCACTGGTTGCCAAGAAGTCTCCTCCCCAGGAGTTCAGAAACCCCAAGGATCTGTTTGTATCTGATCTTCCTGAGTCACCACTACTCAGACACAATTTCCCTCCACTTCCATCCTCCTCTCCAGAATCACAGCATTGTTCCCTTTCCCCTCTGAGGATGGCACCGCCCTTTCCCAGCGATGCAGAGGAGAAGGAGTACTTTGTCCCACCCTCTTACTTGGGACAGGCGCAAGATACATCCTCTACATGTCCTCACTATCCACAACCAGACCAGGGCCCTGGTATGGACCGCCATGGATTTAACCCCATGTGCTGCTCCCTCCACATTGGCCATACAGGATCCTTGGGCAGGGCACAGTTCGGGAAGCTTCCCATACAGCAAAGCCAGAGGTCTACACATTCACCATCTCCATCGGTCTCTTGACTACCAGAGACTTAACCTTTCCCCATAGCAGAGAAGGAGGAACACCAAGAGGCGGAAGTTCCGCCACCACTCCACTGCTTCTCTTGTTCCCCCGATGAGGCTATCATGCCTCCACCCCCTACTGCAGCAAATGACTTCAAACGCTTTCAGGAGTTGTTTCACAGGATTGCAGACTCCCTCTAGATTCGTTTGGAGGAAGCCAAAGAACAACAGCATAAACTCCTCGACATCCTGCACGCATCCTCATCCTCCAAAGTAGCCCTTCCTGTCAATGAGGCCCTTCTCGCCCCCTCCAAGGTGCTCTGCAGACCTCAGTGTTGTTATCCCACCAATCTGAAAGCAGGCAGACAAAAAAAATTACATTCCCGCAAATGACATGGAATCTTTTTTCTCACCCCACTCCAAATTTCTTCATTGTCTATGCCGTACACAAAAAGGGACACCAATACCAACCTCAATCCACTGCTCATGACAGACTAGAAGCAGTTGGATCTATGGACGCACAGCTTATTTATCTGCTACGCTCCAATTACGATTATCTTAACTATTCCAAAATACAGGAACTCTAAGACCTTCCTGATGGCAAAAAAGAGCAATTCCAGGCACTTGTATCCAAAGGACACTTCTTGGCCTGTATGGCTTTACAAGCCCCCTTGGACTCCATGGATACCACTGCCCATTCCATCATGACTGCAGTAGTCATGAGACGGGCATCATAGCCACGCCTCTCCGACGTTCCTAAGGAGGTACAAGCCACTGTCGAGGACCTACCCTTTGAGGGCCCCAAATTATTTGTGGAGTGTATGATGAGTTCCTACACTTCCTTAAGGACTCTTAAGCAACTCTCTGCTCTCTTGGCATTTACTCACCAGTGCCAAAAAGACACTCAGGGAAATACCAACTTCCTCCATGATCCCGACCACAGCAATACACCCCCCAACAACAGTGCGATACTCAACACTGTCAACAGAAGCCCCCTACCAAGCACAGACATGACTCCTCAAGGGGCAACCTCTCACATACCTTTGGCCAAACAACAATTTTGAAGGTGAGTTCGAGGCCCTGAGAAGCCTCCCCCTATTCCAGTGAAAACAACCATCTCCAACATCCCACCAGTTTGGCGATATTCTATCCCCTTTTTTTTCCATCATGGCAGCTACTTACCTCAGACAAGTGGGTTCTAGGGATAGGAAAGGAATGGAGTATCCTTCCTTGATTATCTACCCCCCCCCCCCACTTCCCGTCCCTCTTCAGGGACCCTTCTCACGAACTCCTTCTACGAGAA